GATTTCTGGTAACATTTATGCCACATTTCGTTGAAAAGACAGAAATTACTTAATTGATACAAGTCATTGTTTAGAAAACTTAAGATAAAAGTAGAAGACACCCATGCTACATTAAATGTGAATTTATGTTAACTGTTCATCCATAATGGTCAAAATTATACAAATAAAAAGCCTAAAAAAAGGACACTGAAAGTCAATAATAAAAAAGTAGTGTCTGACTTGGATTAAAATTTTTCTAATCTTAATTTTCTACGTTTATCAAATCTTCAATAGTGGGTGGGCATTATTTTTAAAATGAAGAAAACAGGGCAACCCCCTCAGGTACCCTCCCATTGTGGGAGTTTTTTTGTCTTCTCAATAAAATCCTTTTAAAAAAAAAAAAAAGAAGAAGAAAACAATTTTTAAGGGATATAAAATTTCTATCCTGATCATTTTCAATAGTTACAAAAATTATAAGGAAAGAAAAGTCCTAAGGAGGTTACATGAATCATAAAACTATAATATTAATGTGAAATACTGAAGAGTAGAAATAGGGTTTGTATCTAAATTTTAGTTAAAGTAAGATTAATTTTTTTCTAACACTGACATCTCAATGTGTCTACGCATACTCATTATAAAAAAAAAAACAGTAATATTTCCTTTCTTTGTACCTCAATCATTTTTCTGCTCAGAGGGAATGTGGTAAGAGAGTTCACCAAAGAAAGCCTTCTTCTTCCTCCAGGAAAGCAAGCCTGTAAGAAAGCCTGCTCCACTGCCATCTGATGAGGAAAGGGTAAAGAACCAGATGGCGCTTTACAAGCTATTAAATCTATTAAAGTTACTTGGGGGGTGGAGAGTGCTGAGAAACACTACTTTGCATAAATGTTACTTAAATAATATAATTAAATACTGAATTAAGTATTTGTAAAAACAAAAGAATCAGTTAATTACTACATGAGAATTGTTTTTAGAGAGAGTGTTGCTATGCTGACCAGGCTGGTCTTAAACTCTTGGCCTCAAGCGATCCTCCTGCTTTGGCCTCCTGAGTTGCTGGGATTACAGGTATGAGCTACCAGGCTTGGTTTTCTCTGTTTTTTTTTTTTAACAAATGGTGAATTACATATCCTGGCTCAATCTGCCCTTTGCAAGTCTTTTAAATCTGTTCTGGCTTCTCTTGTTTAAAAGTTTAACCATGTAAACAATCTATATTAAGAAAATTACATGCTGAAAAAAAAGCCCACAAATACATGACATTTCTAAGTCGGTTCTAAATCTTGAATTTCAGAATTTTCATAACCCTCATCTTCAAAGAGTTCCTCTAAAGTTATTTAAACCCTTTTTTAAAAAGGAAAATGATGAATATGTAACGTATGTTTTAGATGAACAAGTATATTCAGTTTTCAAAATACAGTATAACTAGTTTGAGTGCTTAACAGACTCAAACTTAAAAAGTACATTCTAGATAATTGAAAGAAATAATTAAATATTTAATGCATAATTTATAAGAGCATACATATAAACTAATCTTCTGGGTGCTTGAATCTGCTAATGACTCTTTAAGAGTTACTTCCAGCTGTACATATATCATAAGTTATCTGGCTTACTGACAAAATTTTCTTACTTTTTTTTTTTAGGTCTTAAATTTGTGATTTGTGTCCCAGTTTCTTTTTTTTTTATTCTCTATTTTAAAGATGTGGGGTACAATTCAAGGTTAGATATACAAATGTTTATTATGCAGGTAAGCTTGTTGATGAGGTGTGCCCCTTCCTCCCTGGCAGTTTCCCTCAACTGTCAATCCAGCCCCCACCCCTCAGCAGTTTCCCACTACTGCCAATCCCTTTCTTATAATATTATGATAATTGTTCAAGGTCTGCTCATGAGTAAGAACATATGGTACTCTATTCTTTATTTCTGTGACAGATCACTGAGTATGATCGACTCTAAATCTATTCAAGTTGTTGTAAAGTCCATACGTTTGTCCTTCTTTGTGGCTGCATAATATTCCATTGTGTATATGTACCACATTCTTAAAATTCAGTTCAGCTTCGATGGGCAACATGGTTGGTTCCATGTTTTTGCTATTGTGAACAGAGCTGCAACAAACACGCGTATGCAGGTATCTTTTTGGTAGGATGACTTGAGTTCCTCCAGGTATATTCCCAAAAGGGGGACTGCTGGGTCATAAGAAAGGTTAATTTCTAGTTCTTTCAGAAATCGCCACACTGTCTTCCAAAGAGGTTGCACTAGTTTGCATTCCCACCAGCAGTGTAGAGGTGTTCCTTTTTCTCCACATCCTTGCCAGCATCTGTTGTTGTTTTATCATTGATGGCCATACTCACTGGGGTTAGGTGGTATCTCAATGTGCTTTTGATTTGCCTTTCTCCAATGATGAGTGAGGCTGAGCACATTTTCATGTGTCTGTTGGCTGCCTGTATATCTTCTTTTGAGAAGTGTCTATTCATGTCTTTTGCCCACTTTTTAATGGGGCTGTTTGTTTTTTTCCTTTCAGCACATTTGAGTTCCTGATAGATCCTAGATGTTAGGCCTTTGTCAGATATACAGCTGGCAAATATTTTTTCCCATTTTGTGGGCTGTCTCCCTACACTCTTGATTTGTTTTGCTTTGCAGAACCTTGTTAGTTTGATGAGGTCCCATTTTACTGACAATATTTTCTAACATATGATGTCAAATGTCTATCTTTTAGCCCATTTCCCTTTTTTCATCCCTATTAATCAGCACACACTCTCATCAAGAAACATCCATTCTCTAGTCATTGTTACAACTTGCTAACAGATTAGTGAAAATGATGAACTGCTGAAATAAACTTTAACACATTTCTACTAGATAAGAGATAATTTCAGATATAGATTCTAGGTTTTGTGGTTTTTAAAATTTTTCAACTGTTTGTCCTGTTTAATTTTTTTTGTTGCTTTTTACATGGCATTAAAACAGAGTTGCTACAAATCAGTAAAAATGACTACCAACTTAAAAATACTTATAATAGTATTAAACAGAGCTAAACCTTTAAAAGCTGAAAAGTAACAAATTACATGCTCCAGGCTATGAAAAAAAAGTACAAGTATATGAACATGTCACAAGTAAAGTAACAGTTGCAAAAGCTTAAAAACAAAAATGTATTCCAAGGGAATAATTTTCTTTTCAATTTAGTACAATGACATGTAAATAAAGCTTTTAATGAGAATTTATGAAATTATTCCCATACTGATTCTAATTAAAGAACATAAATCTGAAAAGTGTCATTCATAATTTAAGGCTCTATTATTTAATAATAACTAAATATATAAGAATGATACAACAAACTTGTTAAGTTACCAAAGTTTATTTTTATTCTCCAATCCAAAACTGATGAAAAACTTTTTTTTTAATTTTGAGAATATGGCCTGGGAAGATGACAAATTATGGTTATTTCACAATAATTTCTGGACCCCTCCCCCAAAAAGGAATTATTTTCAGTTTAAACGTTCATGGTATGTAAAAATTATCAAGTAATATATAAATGTTTTTAAAAGAACAAGTTTCATTATACCTACATCAAAATTACTCACAAATGAAAACAAAAGCAACAGCAGTAGCAAACATACTGAGAATTTAACTCAGTGCCAGAAACTGTTTCAGATTCCCTTATTTTCATTGATTATCTTGACCTTCATATATAACTCTTTGTATTGTTAATAGATACTATGGCCCATGATAAAAATAAAAATTAAATTCTACTTTAATGTAACAGTATAAAAATTAGAGTTCCTGTTAAAGTTTAATATTGAATATAATAACCAAAACATTTTAAACTTCAACATATAAATAAGTGAAAACAAAAGTTTTATATGAATAAATTTAGGCAGATTGTCTTGTGCAGTTGTTAAGTATGTGGGCTCTGGAGTCAGGCTGCCTTAGTTCAATTACAAATTATTAGGTTTATAACCCCAGGGAAATTGTTCTACTTCTAAAAAACTCACCTCTCTCACTAAAAAATGGAAATAAGTGTTGTAACTACTTTGTAAGATAATCATGAGAATTGAATGAGATCTCTATGAAAAGCACCCTAGACATTATTCATACTCAACAAGACTGATCATTAGCACAAGTATGACCACATGCTTCTGCAAAACTTATGGCCTCAATAGGGAAGAAGGAAGTTAATATCCTAGACATCTCTACTGAACAATTTCTCATACCCAATACTGATTTTCTTCCTATACTTGCACATACACCAACACATACACACACTTCTGTAGAAGTGTTATTCCTGTGCAGAGGTGGTACAATGGACCGAATGGTTTGCCTGTCCCCATCCCCAAATTCACGTAGAAGCTCTAACCCTCAATGTGATGGTATATGAAGCTGGGGCCTTTGGGAGATAATTAGGTTTAGATGAGATCATGAAGGTGGGACCCTCATAATGGGATCTGTGCCCTTATAAGAAGGGAAAGCAGAAAGTTCGCCCTTCCTCTCCTCGTCTTTTTGTCTCTCTCCCTCTCTCTCTGCCAGAAAAGTGTTTCACTGTTTCTCTCTGTGAGTCAGGAAGAAGTCTGCAAGTCAGGAGGAAAATCATTGTCACTAGAACCTGACAATGGTGGCACCATGATCTTGGACTTACAGCCTCCAAAACTGTGAGAAGATATATTTATGCTATTTAAGCCAGCCAGGCTATGGTATTTTGTTATGCCACCCTGAGCTGACTAATCAAGTGATATACTTGTATTTTCAATAGTACATGAGAAAAAGCAATTTTAAGTTTTAATTTTGCAAAATTCATCAGACCCATAAAAATTCATAGTGTGGGCAGTTTTCAAAGAATTTTAGGATATGTCAGAATAAACCATGGTCAGATAGATATTACACTCCTACCTACGGCGTAATTTCTTTTTAAGAGCACAATATTAAGGTTTCTTGCTTTTTAAGAAACTGCTAAATTTAAACAGTTCTATTTAAAACATGGTCAGACAGATATTAAATTCATATCTACAATATGCTACAAATCATAACATAAGGATTCTTACCTTTTATATCTGCCTGAAACTGTTCTAGATGGCTCCTGTAAGGTAAAAATAATGACAAATCAGTTGGGAATTTGTGCATGCACATGATCCCTGATTACATAAAACAGATGGTAAAGAATACCTAATTTTGAAAGAACCGATTTAAAGCAACTACTATTTTTAAAAATTCACATTGCTGTCTAAACAAAACAGGACTCCACATATGATTTTCCAGCCCAAACTCATAGCTTAAAAAATATTTTTTTTTACTATGGAAGCATTTTTAAATGGACAAGGGGGACATCATTCATCAACCAGTCAACTTAAATCCTTTGGAAATCAACAGATATGTAAAATACAACCATTATATTCCTTATATATCCCCCTTTGTGTTTTTCTATGCCTTCAATTTTTTTTAAACAAAAAGAGCTACGATTTAGCACATGCATACAGTGATTAATGTTTATTTTTAAAGACCATTTGCACAGCTAAAAATGAAAAGTGAGAAAGTACATTCTATTGTGCTGATTCTAAGCTACCAAAAAAAAAGATTGCTGAAAGTTAAAATTAACCATTGGGGTGGAAAAATTATTACCTTGCAACTAACTAGACAGTCATTTCTGTTCAGTCATTTAATAGTCTAGGCTCTCAATTACTTTTGCAGTTTTAACAAAACAGATCAAAATCAAATGATGAGTCTTTAAAAACTGAATAATAACCTTTTTTTTCTAGTCAATCTTTAAGTTGCCAAGTGAGAACCTACAATTAAAGAATTTCTGATCTGGTTAAAATGAAGAATAAACCCCCTTTATAAGATGACCAGTTTTGGAGTAAAACAGTAAATATTGACTGCATGATGCAATGAAAGACTAGCAACATGGAGACACAGCACAGCAAACCATATGATTAAGACAAAGAATTAGAGCAAAGTTCCAATCACACAGGCCACTCAGTAGTTGTGAAACTGGGGGTTTAGTCTATCAGTCTTTGTCTCTTTATCTCTAAAATGAAATAACAACGCCTATTTTACTGAGCTATTGTGGAGATTAAGTTATGTAAGTGAGTGAAACAATTAGCATAACTCCTGTACAACAGGCTTTCAATTTAAATGTGATAGCTAAAGCAAACAAACAAAAGACTAACTGGGATATGGAAAAATGTCTATTAATTTTTCTATATGGAATTGTAGTAAGTCTTAGTTCCCCCAAGTCAATAAATTCCTATTACAACAGCCTAAATCACTTAGTTTAGTATCATTTGGGCATCAGTTTTTCATACACATGTCTTATTTTCTAAGTAAAACAAGTCGCTGACAGATAAAGATCCCCCTCTGATTCTTTCTTTCTCCCCTAAAACCCGAACTCACCAAGTATACAATAAATATATACTAACAACCAAACTGAAATAACTTCCTCAGTAATCTGCAGTTACAGAAAAAGTAACCAAGTTGTAGGAAATAACTAGGTGACAGGACATCAAAGTGTCCATATGTGTGTGGGCTTGACCATATAAACAGGATTACTTCTGGAAAAACCATGCTTTGATAGTTGATAGGAAGACACTTTAACCATCCCTGTACTCATAGCAGGGATAACAAAGACTAGTGAGTAGACTTTTAAGAGTTCTTATCTTTCTGTCATTAAGGAGGTTTCTCCCAATGATGAGGAGCCAGATGAGTTTGTACTTTGTGTACTAAACGCATAAAACAAATCCACTACCTGCAAAAATATGATGTCTCTAGTAAATACTAGCCAAGAATATATTTTATAAAATCTAGTTTTTAAGTTATTTTTGAAAGCTTAAAAATAGCTAGATTAAAGTGAATAATCACTGGTTATTTAGATAAAGCAGAACTATTAAGCTTATGTATATCCTCTCAAAGTACATTTTATTAAATGTGGATAATGATTTCATATAGAACTATTTCCCCTGGAGTTTCACAAACTCCAGTATTTCAACTAACATTTTTTAAAGGGTTTCTACATTCCGAAAGGGATTCTCCAATCCAGATGCCATTAAGGATACTTGTGGTTCATGGAAGGAGGTCAAATACCAACACCAACAGGACCTTAGGAGAAGTGGATTCTAACCCTTATGAAGGACTTTGAGGGCTTCAGAACTTCAGAGGAGGAAGTAACTGTGGATGTGATAGAAACAGCAACAGAACTAGAATTGGAAGTGGAGCCTGAAGACATAGTTGAATTGCTGTGATTGTTTGATCTTATGATCAAACTTTAATGGATGAGGAATTGATTCTTATGGATAAGCAAAAAAAGTAACTTTTTCAGATGGAATCTACTCCTGGTAAAATGCTGTGATCACTACTAACATAACAAAGGATGAAGAATATTCCATAAACTTAGTTGGCAAAACAGCTACAAAGTTTGAGAGGATTAATTCCAATTCTGGAAGAAGTTCTACTGTGGGTAAAATGCTATCAAACAGCAGCACATGCCACTGAGAAATCTTTCCTGAAAGAAGAGTGAATCGATGTGGCAAACTTCATTATTTTTTCTTTTCTTTTCTTTTCTTTTTTTAAAGAAACTGCCCTAGCCACTGGAACTTTCAGCAACCACCACCATAACCAGTCAGCACCATCAACAGCCAACAAGACCCTATACCAGCAAAAAGATTACAACTCACTGAAGGTTCAGATTATCATTAGCATTTTTTTAAGCAATAAAGTATTTTTAAATTAAGGCGCATACATCGCTCTTTTTTGATATAATGCTATTTCAAACTTAAGAGACTATAGTATTGTGCAAATACAACTTTTATATTCACTGGGAAACCAATAATTTTGACTTACTTTCTTGTGACATTCACTTCATTGCAGTGATCAGGAACCAAACCTACATTTCTTAGCGATCCCTGTATGATTCAATATCTTCTAAGTAATACACAGGAACCTGTCTTTCATTCGCATTTTCCTTCCTCAGTTCATTCCTCTTCTGCACTGAATTTTGTGACAAACTTGCTTTTTTTTGAGTTGGAGTCTCACTCTGTCACCTAGACTGGAGTGCAGTGGCCGCTCCCAGCCACCGCAGCCTCGACCTGTTGGGCTCCAGTGATTCTTCCACCTCAGCCTTCCAAGTAGCTGGAACTACAGGCGTGCACTATCACACCCAGTTAATTTTTTGATTTATTGTAGAGATGAGGTCTCACCAAGTTACCCAGGCGGATCTCGAACCCGCGGGCTCAGGCAATTCACTCACCTCAGCCTCCCAAGGCGCGGAATTACAGGCTGAGCCACCGAGCCCAGCTTGTGACAAACTTTCAATTTTCAAGTTGATAATTAAAAATTAAAAACTCACAATAAATATAGTTAGCATTTATAAAATAAAAAGGCTTTTTTCCCTCTAATATTGTCCTATATGAACTAAAACTAAGGCATATACTTTAAATGGCCTATCTAGATATGTATGAGAAAAAAATGCTAATGCTAGAATCTCTAAAACAAAGTTCCAAAACATGACCTCTCCCTCATTATGGTTACAGTTGAAATATTTCAGAATATGCCACATCAGCTTGATTGCCCAGATTGCCTTATACTAAAATGGAGTAAGCAAAATTGCTAAATGAGAGCAACCTCTATTAGATGTACTAATCTGTGGGTTATTGATGTATCCCCTGAAATGTTATGAATAACCTGGCAACAAATAACATTTCCGAGACCTGTAACAGCCATTTTCCACAATATGGTCAAACTCATACTAATAAGATATAGAATAGACCTTTAATAAATTCTGAAATGTGAAATGGAAGGCATTTCAAGCAACAAACTACAGTGACACCGTACTAACTTTACACTTTGAGCCAACTATAAATGACTTAAACTCAGTATCAGACAGCTTTCGATCTACGCATACTAATAGGAAGTAATGCAATTATAACGAATTTCTACATGTCTATATTTCTTTAGGTTAGCTTTTTTTTTTTTTTTTAACTAGCCACCTAAAACACACTTCAGTAAGTTTTACAAAGTATTTTCTACACAGCTACCTTGGCGCAGTTGATAAAATTAGAAATCGGTCATACTTGATCAAATCACTCCATGCTCATGCCTAAGATGTACAAACAATTAGAATTTGGGCTATATTAATTTTTACATAAGTAATATTTCACAGTTAAGATTATGAAGCAGATGGACAACACAAGCCCATTCTTGACTGGTGGATTTGATAGTTTTCTGCTAGAAACTATAAAGTATGAACAATAAAATGTCCCCTGAATTAGTAAGACTATATTATCATAATATTACTAGAGACTGGAAGGGGCAGTTTAGAGTGACTTCTACATCCCTGCCAAAAAAGACAAAACTGACCGTATCTTAAATTAGAAATGTTAGGCAGAAAAAAATAAAATCAACTCATTTAGTGCAGCAAAAAAAATCTCTAACAGTTTTTTTAGTTTTAATTGATAAATAATAATTACACATATTTATAGAGTACAAAGTGACATTTCAATTTTGATAGATATATACATCATGAGATGATTTAATCAGAGCAAGCAGCATATCCACCACCTCAAATATTTACCACTTCTTCGTGGTAAGAACATTTAAAACTTCTCTTTTAGCTATTTTGAAATATGCATTAACTATAATCACCTTGTGCAGTAAAAAAGAACGTACTCCTCCTGTCTTACTTGTAACTTTGCACCCAATGACCAATGTTTCTTCATTCATACCCCTACCCCAGCTGACAACTACCATTCTACTCATTACTTCTTTTTTTGTTGTTTGTTTGTTTTTGAGTTGGAGTCTCACTCTTCGCCTAGACTGGAGTGCAGTGGCTGCTCCCAGCCACCGCAGCCTTGACCTGCTGGACTCCAGCGATCCTTCCACCTCAGCCTTCCAAGTAGCTGGAACTATAGGCGCACGCTACCATGCCCGGCTAATTTTTTGATTTATTGTAGAGATGAGGCCTCACCAAGTTGCCCAGGCAGGTCTCAAACCCGCGGGCTCAAGTAATCCACTCACCTCAGCCTCCCAAGGCACCGGATTATAGGCTGAGCCACCGAGCCCGGCTTTTTTTTTTTTTAACATATTTTTTAT